AAAGTTTTAAATATGTATCAGTCATTTACTAAGATATGTGAATTTACATAGAATGCGTTATCGAAATAAAGCTCATTGTAATATTAAAAAAAGCCGTCGTTACCCAGATACTATGGCATTGTATAAAGGCATTGCAATATACATCGTGAAAGAAAGCGGACGTTCAAAAGAGTTTATGGAAAGTACCTTGCAATAAAGCTCATTGTAATACCAAGAGCCGTGTTACCCAGATATTATGTTTTGCATAAATAGGCGTTACCACAAAGTACTTGAATATCGTGAAAGAGAACAAATCCCCAACAGACCAGCAAGGTTTATGGAAACACACTCACACACACACACGCACGCACGCGCCTGTGCAGAACAAAATGCCTTTTGGGGGATTAAAACCCATGCAGATTACCAGTTGGGTGGTGTTTCTAACGGATTAAACTCCAGCCCCAGGGAGTGCACGTGGTTTTCAAACATTTCGACCACAACCCCCTCCCCTCCTTTCCTGACCCTGAGAGTCTTCGTTTAGCTTCTGTCTTCTGTTGTTCTTGGACAATAATTTCGACCTATCTACTTCTCTCCAGAACATCGCTTGAAAATTTCCCTCTCCAACTCGCCAATACAATTTTCAATACGTTTATTGGACTCTCGTTTCTGGGCTTGCAATACGATGATTTCATAGATCAATAATAATATATGACAATAACAAATTTTAAAAATAGATCTCTATACAAAGGGAATGTGATGTGGGTGTGAGTATGGTACACTCTAGTTGCTTTGTGTAAAACAGTGGCATAGGGTGGGCATAGTTATTGAGGGGGTGCCATGGGCGGGGAGGGGGTAGCGGTCTTACTAGATGTGGATGAAATGTGAGCATTGTGAAGTACCAAGGCCATCGATTAGGGGAGGATACTAGAATGGGTCCTATCATCATTTTGTTAACCTTCCCCTTTACCCTTTTCCTTTCCTCCCTCCGGCCCTCTCTCTTTCTCTCTCGCCTCTCTTTCTCTCTCTCTACCCCCTCTCTCTCTCTCTCTCTCTCTCTACTTCTCTCTCTGCCTCTCGCTCTACTTCTCTCTCCTCCCCTTTCTCTCTCTCTCTCTTTACCCTCTCTCTCTCTCTCTCTCTCTCTCTCTCTCCTTCTCTCCTTCTCTCTATACGTATTTTTTCACCGATTTTGATCAAGGGCATGTGCCCCCCCCCCCCCCCTCCTGCTACGCCACTGCCACTAGCTGGCAAAACATACGCACAAACTCATCATTACAAAATGAGCAAAGTAGGACTTGTCTTATTTTCGCTTCCCTGATCATTGAAAACAGAGCACTGGTAGAATATAGAATGAGTCATCATCGTTTGATTGTTGGTCAAACCTCGCCCAACTAATCAAACACAATAGCTGGTAGACCTTTATTTGGTATTGTGTGATCTTTGGTGACGTAATACAATAGAGCAGTTGCGTGTATTTGCTGTCCTAAATATATCTTTATACAATACTAGGGAAAGTACAGACCTCGTATTTATCTTACACGTTTTCTCCAAGCATATTTTTTTGCATTGATCTCTTATTTTTGACTTTTTTCTTCTTCTTCTTTTTAAAGGATATTAGGCTACATACATTTGTGATGATGGTGACTAGATACAATATTGATATGTTGTAATGTGCTCCCTGAACACGAAGGAAAAAACACCAAGATAACCAAGGATACAAATACCAAATTGATTATTCACCCCCAAAAATGTGAATGAAATAAGTGGATTATACATTTACATTTTGTTTCATACGTGTATTAAGCTGAAAATATAGGGGTAAGATAAAACATATCAGGGCCTAGATTAAAAAGAAGAAAAGATAACAGTACACACTTTTATTGAGTCAAGGAATTCAGTCGTCAATTACAGCGTGTCTTTTTTTTGTGGGGGGGGGGGGGTTGTTTGTTTGTGTTAATTATGAATACGTCATGTCGATCACAGTACTTTGCAATTCTTTCATAAATTAATATTTTACAAATGTTAAAGACAAACTTGAGTACAGTGGTAATGCGATTGCATTGTGAAAGAAAAGGTGTGGAATGGATCAGAAAAGTTGATCATAATAGCATGTAATTAATGGTGTGTAATGCAAGGTTCTGGAGTCATCAAAATCATCATAAATTTGGCAGGGTCTTGGTAAAGTAACAATCACTTACACAGATAGATGTATATGGGACAACCCACATGGTGTCGGGGCTAGTACTACCCTGATTTCCTTATCTTTCTATGCTCATTATTCAGCCAGTATACATTTTCTTCCAAAATTGTTCGGCACATGACATTTATTTGTAATCTTGAACATTCAGTGTAAGTTTCGTTAGATTCTGTGAGAATTCATTTTCTTTTTTTACCAGAACTCAAGTTTATCTTTAATATAGTCTGCACGTACCCTCTTCAAACATGTACTTAGTACTTTGTACTTTTACCCTGGAACTGTTAATAAAGGCATAAACCAAATCTTGTTTTTATTTCCGCCACTATGACATCATTCTGTCTGTTTGCTTTAAATGCATATACAAAAATATAAAGTATGACGTATATGCGTATAAACAGGGGTCAAGACATCATGGGGTACGGGCATAATGGGGGTGATAAGGTAATAATTGATTAGGGGCAGGCAGTAGAAGGGGTCTTATCATTTTTTTTCACTTTCCCCTCCGCCCCTTTCCTTCTCTCCCTTTCTCTCTCTCCTTTTCTATCTCTCTCTCTCCCTTTCTAGCCATTCGATTGGGAGGCACGTGCCTCCATGCCACGATATAATTTTGATGTAGTATGGTATAGTTATTGAGATTTTGCGGTTTGATATACTAATTTTTGTGTGTAAATAAAGCTTAAATTAAAAAACGGTATGGTTCCTTTGAAGAGAAAGACATCCTCGACTGGTCATGGTTAACACTTTACAGGACTGGTGTGATTATAATTTATTATAATGATGATTTAAATATATGACAATAGGAGCTTACTTTTTATGTGACTTTTGATTCAATAATAGATAATGACAATAATTATCATTATTATTTTACACATGTAACGGTAAGGGCCTGCGGTTATTATTATCCCAGCCATTGTCAGATACCCATTTACACCTGGGTAGAGAGTGGCAAATGTGGATTTTTTTTATCTTGCCAAAAGCTGTTAGTGTTGGGCTGAGATTCGAATCCTTTTCTTCTCAATGGAAGCGTTATTATCAGACAATAACGACGCTTTAACCACTACGTCTTCTCACTGTTCTAATACCGTGAGTGTATGTCACATACATTAATAATCATATGTCAAATTTTAAAAATGCGTTGCATGAACTGTATTAATGTAATTTGTTTTTGTATGTTATTGTACAGTGGGGGATTCGCTTCTGGAATATTTAGTGACAATTGATCTGACAATCTTATCGCGGTGAAAGAAATTTGACGTTTGAAAGGAAATTGTGGAAATACGTCAGTATCCGTATGGGTTAGCAGTATCTCCCTGGTTAAAGTGATTAATTCGTCCTGTGCTCGCGATAACATGGAACTATGATTGTTCTGTTATCTATAGGCATACGTGTATTATATATTAGTCACTGAATACATTATTTGAAAAAGATAAGTTCATATATTAAACATGCAATTAGCGGTTGTCCTAGGGGTATGTCTGTCTGTATATTGAACACCAGCCTATCAATCTTTTTGCACTTGCGGTACATTTGTCTTCCTTCCAAAAGAATAAAGAATACGAAAAGACAGATCTTTCTAAACACCGTAATGTGAATTGAATTTGAATTGAATTGATCTTTATTTCATTCATCATAAAAACATAACAACCATATAAAATACAAAACATAGTGTACAAGCTAAAGAGAAACATTTACAATACAATACAACAACAAAAATATTTATGAATGTGGAGACAGCTAGGAAAGCCAAGGGCTTTATTGGTGCTGCCATCAAAATAGTGATAAAGTATAATACAGTATTATATTGTTGTTTGGAAAGGTGATTAAATTTTTTTTTTTTAAACTAAATAGAGGGGGGGGGGGGACAAAAACCAGACCGTGTACAGAATCAATCTTCATTTATTTTGTTGGATTAAAAATTATTTATATCTCCTTTTCCAAACGTTGATTGATGGACTAGATTTTATATCTTGAGGTATATTATGTGCATGTGTTTATCATGAGTGAACAAAGGGCGTATTATGCAGCTAACAGCATTTTCATTACATAATAGTTGTTTTTCTTTCTCTTACATAATGTCTGAGGATATACGTTTCACGTTGTTCTCAGATTTAATCATATTGCACATCACAATCTTTGGTATTAATGTAACAGCTATAGAAGAGTTGCTCGCGAACACTATGAATCTGATTAGAAGGGTGATTTGAAGATCCCACCCCCATAGAAATGCCGACAAACATATATTTATTCAGTTTAATGTGCCATACTTCCAAGCAACGCCTCTAAATATATTCTATTCTCCCGCCCCTCGCCCCTACTCCTCCTCCTCCTTTCCCTCTCTTCATAAGATGCCGCTACGTTAAACATGAGCTAGAAGAACTATTATTTAAACCACCTTGGGGGAAAAAAGAATCATGAGAAAGAAATGTTGATTTGAAAAATGTAGAAAAGAGAAAAGATCCTAATGAAGGGTAGGAATTAAGAAATTTATGAAGAGAGAAGAAGTAATAATCTACAGTAACATTGATATTCCCAAATCCACTGACTACCAATATTGAGACCAGAGAATACTGTTCGTACCACATAATTTTTAAATTCCGGTACTGGGTATATACATGTAGCTTGTTATTGATTTTATCTGCTCGCCTTGTCTGGCACGTTGTGTTGTCAATGGAGCTAAGCCGCGCGCCGAAAATTATAACAATGATGTAATGGTACTTCCCAGTGATTCAACCAATCAAAACACGACCTGTCCACAGCTCGGAACATCCCCTACTTATTTTTAGTTCATTACATCAACGTACCGTAGTTTTTTGTGGCGAGAGGTATATAAAGGCGTGTAATCGTATGCGGAAAGTACGGTACGTTTACTGCTGTGTTCCGAGAAAGAAAGACGGCGTTAAATTGCATTTTTTCCATTTTGATGTTGATTTTGTTATAGAAAGGTTAGTATTATTAAACAATCATGCAGTCTGCAAGGAAGCTGTTTCGACGTGCTAGCAAGCGAATTCGCCGTGTTTCCAGGACCGTCGAGGAGACAGAATTGGCCAGGGAATCCTCCCCGGAAAATGTGGACCCCAAAGCAGCTGAGGCCTCTAGTTCCAGGGCGGCCACGGCAGAGAGCCCCCTGGGGGCCAGTGAGATAGCAGCCGCTGCAGCCAAACTGAGTGATTTGGATAGCTCCACTGAAGAAATGCAAGCAAGTGGAAATGGAAATGGACAACAGGATTACATAGACAAGCTTTTCATAAATCAACGCAGGTATTTATAAATCAGACGATGACTAAAGTGTGTGTGAGAGAGATAGAGAGAGAGAGAGAGAGAGAGAGAGAGAGAGGGTGGGGGTAGGGATCAGAGAAGGGAGAAAGATGATGAAGCATACACATCTTTAAAGGGTTGTGATTGAAACAAATTAATCACAAGTTTGCAGTCCCCTATCTCTTATGTACATAGTTGCAATCGATATCAATCTAACAAAAGTTGCAATTAAAGGTAAAGACCAGTATTGGAAACGCCCCAATTTCAAAAAATGAAATGGAAGCTCTCATTACCAATCATGTGAAAGAATATGTTTTGACTAAAACATGATGATAAAAAATTTGCCGGGAAACCGCCTACTAATTCATATATTTGGTAAATTTGTTTCTCTCATGGTCTGTGAGAGATATAGGGTAGTCCCATATACATCTTTCTGTGTATAGTGCTTGTAACTTTACGAAGAATGGGCCAAATTTCTTATCATTTTGATGATTCCAGAACCTTGCAGATGCTAGATGCTAGATGATCAACCTTTTCTTATCGATTCCACAACGTTTCTTTCACAATGCAATCGCATGACCATAACTGGTCTTTACCTTTAATATCAAATCTTTATAAGAATGGGTCCTGATCACAATGTTGTTACCTCAACAATAAACTAAGATCATCGTCAAAGATGACATGGGTAGGAGTACGCCCATCACTATCATTATTTCTAGAGAATCAAATTAATTCAAGTGAATTGAAAATCATTTAACAATTCAAGAATTTTAACTTTAAAAAGGTTTACCCCTTACATAATGATTAAACTAATGACTCTCATAAACAGATCTGATCATTACTTAGCTAATTTTTGTTAAATTAAATTGCTCTTACCTTTACCATTATTACATGTACTTCTCTTTATAAAGCTAAGTATGAAAATATTTAATTTTCAACAACTTTCTTCCCTAGGGAGCTGATGCATGAGCTACGCCAGATCCAGGACAGCCATCGCCCTGTGAGCAAAGGAGACCAGCGAAGAAATATTGATCGCTTCCTTCGACTCCATCTCAATGGAGAAGTCTCGGACTCCACCAGCGAGGACTCCAACGAGGGCAACCACCAGTCTCCAAGACGAAGGAGGCGGAATGGTATGGTTGTGCAGGAGCTGGAGGGGTTGTCACGGCAACGGTCCGTCACTCAGCGTCTCCAGTGCCCGACGTTCCGTCGTGATCTGGAGAACATGGTGCGAGGTGTCGTCGTAAGGCAAGAGAGAGAGGTCGAGGCCGTCCTTAGGTTGCGTGTAGCTGGTCTCCCTGGTAACAGGCCCCTCCCTCTTGCAGGTGAAGCGAGTCGAGTGGATACCGGAAGCCATGTCAGTGGGGTATCATCAATCTCTAGTGGCCATTCTCTCCTTCCATCAGTGTCTACATTAGGACTCAATGCTATTCCGGTAAGTAACACTTCATCTGAACATACAGCTCAACACATATAGGGGTCAAGGGAGAAATAGCCCTGTAAAAGTTTTTTCTTTAGATGTCAATTATTATACCATTTAAAAATATAGTTCTAACTAACCCACCCACCCACCTTATTTTTGATAATATCCTTACTTAAAAATTGCGGAGACCATACTTCTTAACTGGATGACAACAAATTATTAGACATTCTCTGAAAAGAGGATTGATTGTTAATAATGATCATACTTTAGACCTCTCTTCAATATGCAAATGTTTATAAATGTGTGTATGTAATATATACATGTATATTCATAAACCAAATTTTTTTAAAGGCTTTTATGCCATTTTGGGGGTTTTCACATTCATTTTATATGTATTCATGTAAATATATTTATATAGGATTTTCTAGAGGGATGCACATACATTCTTTCTCTAATTATTGATGCATGAAGTATCATTAACAGTAATAGAATATATAGCAAAACAAAATGCTTTGAGGCTGTTCAACTTATTTCCATGGGGATCCTTCCATAGAGAATGACAAACAGACTGACAGAGGAAATTCAATTCTCCTACGTAGGAGTTTAAAGAATCAAACAACACTATTCCCACTATGCCCTAGCTCCTAGGCTTAGTTAATGCAATATGAATGTCAACATCCTGGCGTTGTGACAAACATGTAGTAGTGATTGTTATGACTCATGCCTTGCGCAACACTTTGTATTCGTGTTGTAATGCTCCTAAGATAGCACCCATATCTCGATGACAGATTGTACATGTTTACAGCTTTAGTATTTGACTTATCATGACAAGGATTAGGGGGGATCATGTCATGTTCTTGAGTAGATTCACGGCAGTTAGGTATAATATTATATTTAGGGTTTTTAGAAAATATATAACATGCTTTTACATCGATGACCCTGAAGGGAGATATAGGCCTATTTAATTTGTACTTCCTTGTATACATTTAAGGTAGATAACTGAATTTGACCTTAACTCTTATCACTTTTGTTGTTTTATGACTGTAAGCAGCTATAAATAAGGAATTAAAGTTCAGAGTACAGACTGATGAAAATATGATGAGATAGAGAGGGAGAGAGGGGGGGGGGGTTCACAATTTTCAGTGACTACAAGTAAAATCAGTGCCTCAGTAACATCTTTAGAAACTAGGAATTTTTTTTTTTTTTTCACTACCGGTATTGACTCTGCTCCTTATTCTGATATACTGCTCACTCCGTGGTTGCAAATATCGTTTCACTTTAAAGAAGAATAAACATACTTCCTAATGATAATAATCAAAGCAATGATTATGCCACAATAAGAGAGCTATAATTGATCAAACTTGAGTTTTCAACCTTTTTGTTTAGGAGTTTAGGCTATGACACATCTTGTTATAAATCCTGTTAGTCCAAACGCACCTTGTGTTAAGATAGTGACATTAGAGCGTTTTGACAACAGCTTGGTTACTTGTGTGTGTGGTAGACAGGTATCCTTGTAACACAGGGAAACCCATGCATACTTGTTGAATATGTAGGTCTGAACTTTCAATACAAGTAGGAAATAACAGACAGATGACTAAACACCCCTAGTACAATGTCAGGATATGCTTACACTAAAGGGGGCCCTACAAAGGGATAGTGTATACAAATTGTTGGCAGACTCTCGAATCTTGCCATACTTGTCTTTTCTAGTCTACTCAGATTATTTCCCTTATCTATCTGTTCGGTGCCCCCCCCCCCCCTTCCCTCCCTCCCTCCCTCTCTCTCTCTATATAATTGATTATATATCTCTCTCCCTCCCCATATTCCCCCCTCTCTCTCTCTCTCTCTCTCTCTTTCCCCTTTTTCTCTCTTCCTCTCTCCCCCTTCCCTTTCTCCTTTTCTCTCTCTTTCTCTCTCTTTCTCTCTCTTTCTCTCTCTCTATCTTTCTTTTTCATTTTCTCTATGCATCTTCCTCTTTCTTGAAGTCAATCCTCAAATTCTCTTCCCCTATTTCTAAATCTTGCTTCCCATGTCTATCTTTCTGTTTGCCCCAATGTCTTTTCTTTCACTTTATCTTTTTATCTCTGAAATTCCCCCATCTCCCACTCTCACTGAATTCAAAATATTACAGAAGTTAAATGGCTGTATTCATGCTATGAGTGGATGACAATTTGAATTATAGACATTGGGACAGGTCAGTTGGCAAACATAGTTTTTGCGTCGAAATATGGTTTTTGGGTGGTTTCAAACTGTAAGTGATATCATACTATCATCTTCATTGATGAAGTCATTGTTTTTGTTGCTTTTATATATTATGCTTTTCGTATTATACAAGGCAATGCTTGAACATTGTGAGCATTTCTGAAGTATGCATGTCTATACTGGAGATCATAAATCCTTGTTAAATAATACTCTTAACCCCCTCTGTTTGATTCCACAGGTTGCACCACCCCTACCTCCATTCCCTAACCAGCAACACCTTCCTCCCCCACCCCCACCCGCATTCCAGCAACCCCAGCAACGCCTACCACAAGTTGCACCTGTTCAACCACCTCCACCACCACCACCACAGCCCCAGCAAGCCAACAGATGGCCACTGCCTACAGCACCATGGCTGGTCCAGAACAGGTGAGGGTTCAAACAGGTCCTGTTTGAAGTTTAGGGATCCATGTGAATTTTGCATTTTCCTTTTCATCATCCTATATTGACAATAATTTTCTTATAGATTTTGATTTTTAGAAATGTTGGTAAAAGATATGATAAACTTTTAAAAAGACATAAGAAATTAGAAGGTCAAATAATGTAGAGACAAGAAAAAAAAAAATTGTAAGAAGTTGAGGATGAGGATCCTAAGAAGTTGTCTCCCAGATTAATCTAGGGCTAAATTTAATGTGACTGTTTGTAAATAGTGATAACAATACTTTTCACTGTAAAGCACTCGTTCATAAAATACATGGTTCATAAAGTTTATAACCAGAAATAATATGTAATACAGATAAGTGTGAGTGAAATTACAACCATAAACAGTATTACACAAATTTATAATCATTAATTCATACATGTACTGTATTTAAGGATTTTCTAGTCTTATGGGCAGTAATTTTTTTAAAGCCCTGTCATCTATTTGATTAATGATTCAATGGACAGCATAATATTCATTTCAGTTTTACATATTTTATTAATAATCATGACTTAACAATTTTTATTTCAATTATCAGTGCCAGACCAAGGATAATTTCTGGAGGCACAAGCAAGTTTGTTGCAAATTATTAAAAAAAGTTGTCAAGTTTAACAGAGTTGCAGGGGTGGGGGAGTGGAGGGGAGCAAATGCATCCTGGTTCCTTCATGTAAACATTGAGTAAGTCTAAACGTCTTTCCTATGATTTCTTACAGTCTGAATGGGAACCAGGGTCCTGCTGACCGAGCCCAGGTCCTACAGCAGGTCCATAGGGAAGCTGTGGTCTCTGAGATCAGTGAGTTAGTCCATCGTCAGCTGGTCCATGAGACACTGGAGAGTGACTTCAGAGGACGCCTAGAGTTCTTGATGATGGTAAGCAGAGATTCAAACCCCTCTCGATCATGATTTTACAAAGATGTTTTAAAACCCTTTTATGATTTATCTATACCTTGATTGTTAAAATGATTTTATTAATACAGGGTCAGATCCATTTCTTCTTGGTAAATGGCCTGCAAATTACAAGAAGCTTCTTACATTAAAAATGGGGAGATCACTCTTTTTTCTTTGGCGCACTTAAAGTCAATGCTTTCCAGCCCCCCCCTTCCCATCCCCCCTAAATCTGGCGTACATCGATTTACAAATCTCAGGGATGATCATCTGTAGGTATTGATCTTTTTCAAGGATCTCATGCTAATCGATGTACTCACTTGAAGAGCATTAACAATGAATAATGTTGACTGCAATAGTTTTTAATTTTGAAAGGATTTTTGTTTCTCCTGTTTTTCACGTGCAGAATCGTTTAGAGACTATCGGACCCGAGAGCGGTGAGCGGGTCATGAACTTTATCAACACGATCCCTCAGAGCCAGCACATCCGTCGCAATGATTTCTCTCATCTCGGTATCCATGTACCGTCTTCACAGCAGGATGGTGCACAGTCCGGAGCTGTAGGGGGCGCTGCAGTCCCTGCTGCTTTCGTAAGTAACAATGAATTTAAGATGATTGAGAGAAAGAGAGAGAGAGAGTGCTTGGATGATGAGTTTTGCAGTCAGGAATGACCCACATCTCAATATTGCATGGGATTTTTTTTTGTGAAGGGGGGGGGGGGGGGTCGACTTAGGCTTGCTTCTCTTCTTAAATTGAAAAATGGGTTTAACAATTGTGAAATGAGATAATATGGAACACTCTCAAGATCTTCAATGGAAAGAAAACTGCTACTTTAAATTGGCCTCGTGAAACTTAAGTTTGGAAACATGTTTTAAAGCCTGTCTGCACTAGTTTGGCCCGGAGGGATTAGACCTCCTGCATGGTCACTGGCAGGTGGCTATCTCATCAAATCAGCTCTCAATTAACATAAGAAAAAGGGATCATGGGGAACCAACGGGTACCACTTAGGCATTGTTTTCTATATAGAGGGCGCAAGAAGCTACAAGTAGTGCAGTCCCACTTTAAAAGTTGACATCGCACAAGAGTTAAAAAGGTGAAACTATTCAAGCCCTGTCACATTGCTGGACTTGTCAAGTAGTTGAAATATGTGAACATCTGAAAGCAGAAGGCATCAGGAAGATGTTCTGTATTGAAAGGAAACTAAACTGTTCTAGCCCCCTCTATTGGTAGGGTTGTATTTGAAATCAAAGTGCAACGATACACAGTGTTATTTTATGTAGCCCAAAGTCCATGAAGACAGCCACTGGTTTGTGAAAGCTCAGTTCAAAGCAACCCAAACTGTCATAGCCCCCTCTCTTGTTAGGATCACAAGAACTACACACAGAAGGAAGTGGAAGTACATGAAGAGAGAGAGAGAGAGAGAGAGAGCTGGAGGGGGAGGGAGGGAGAGGGAGGGAGGGAGAGGTGGTTTGGGGGAGGAGAGAGAGGGGGAGAGAGAGCTCCCTATAAACTAAAGTAGTCTAGCCCCCTCAATTGATACAATAGTTAAAGGTTGATGATTATTTTCCCCTTGTTCTTTGAATAATGTGTATATAGCTGTTTGGTGCAATTGCCTGCCAGTCTAATTCCCAGTTTGTCTAATACCCCTTTTGTCTACTATCCACCAGGTCTAATGATCATTTGATGATTATTATTCTTATGATTAAAAGATTATTGAATTATGGACGGTATACAAAACGGTTAATAGATAAAACTGGGAGTTAAACTAACTCGCAATTATTACAAATGAGTGATAGACCAAATGACTTTTAGCCTAAATGATGAGTAGATGAAATGATTATGGGACCACGTGGATAGCAGACAGGCTTGGTGTAGACCAAACGACAATTCACCAAATAATGTAGTAAATGTAGAACTATGAAATAAGCATTTCACCTATTGATGCATGTAGGTCAAATATTTCTAACTTGAATCACTCCATTTGGAGTCATTCATCCTCAGAACAAGACAATGGACATGGGAAAAGGAGTGCATATATGTTTATCAGGCAGTAACAAAGTGAATCGCTGAACTCACTCAAGCATGTTTGGCCTCATGGACACTTTCATAAAGGATATTTGTGTATCCTGTGGAAATGCATTGCCCTAAAATTTCTGTACTGTCCACTTCTATTCTTTCATGAGTGTTTCGCTCCACAGTCTGAACTCATTAGTTAGATTCACACGAGAGTCCATAAACTTAAAGTGTTAAACCATGGTTTTACACTTCAAGTATATCTTGTAGTGACCAAAGTACAGACACTCAGACAGTATAAGTTATAAGCCAAGAGAGATCTTCTGGTTAGCGCAATAACTATGGGCTACAGGGATTAGCCCAGCATGTAGTTACAATAGCCGCTTGCCTATAGAGCTTGCAGTTTAAAACTTTGAACATAGTTGTTTCACTACAGTGTCAACCCTTGTTGTTAGGGGATCATCGTTTGAAACTTTGAGGTTTTGCAAACTTAACGTTCCAAACTACGACAAGCTCGTGTGAACATATCTTGAATGAGGAATAATAAAGATGACCTGTGAAGTACAGTTAGGTCGTGTTGAGTTGAGAGCGAAGGTCAGATTGCGGTATGAATGTATCAGCACTATGGCCAGCTCATCCCATATCCTCAACACTAGTAATATGACACTCTCTATGGACATGACCTGATTAAAATACAAATAACCTCTTTCACGTTTGAAAGTTGAACTTGTATTCAAGTGAGGATTTTAAGAAATCTTCATAAACAACTTGTCATTGGATGATTCATCACCAAATTTGATCCTAAAAATGAAGAATAGGACCCATCCTTCATGTACCCTGTTTCTCGATGATTTGGAGATGGGAATTAAAGAAATAACAATTTTGAAACAATTAAATAAGTCCAAACAAATAATCATAATAAAACTAATACCGGTAATTGGCATAGTGAAAACAAAGATTATATGTGGAAGTGTGTGTGAGTGTGAGTGTGTTTATATGTGATGTAATAATATATATATATATATATACAAGACTACTTGGCAAACCCTATACAGTAGGTCTGGGGGCAGAATAATACAATTTTTACCCATGATAGTAGTACCGTACAATGAAATATTAATGACAGATGTTATGACCAAGTGCCACTATTAAACTTTAAAAGTTCCTAGATTAGGAACAATATATTTTGGGACAAGCATGCCTCTTTCTGTCCTGTGAACTCATGAAAAGGGGCACAAAAACATTTCAGAATTTAGCCTCCAACAATAGCATAGTGAACCAGGGCAGGTCATGGCATTTAGTCATTCTACAGGATGATGTACCAAACTTTTTTCCCTCCCCTCTCTCCATTACACTCCCTTCCTCTCCAACTTTTTCCCTTCTCTTTCAAAAGGTCTAAAAATATGAGGGCAGGTCAAGGATTAGGCCTTAAACTCCAGACTGATGTACTTTCTTGACCATTGGCTAGACTAATGCACTGACCATGCCTTCAGGTTCTTTTGTTATTTTTTTGTTATTCCGTGGTCAAATGTAATTTCCATGTAGACAACGTGTTTCCTTTTTGGATTAAACATAAAGGCATGTCATTTAATTGCTTCTAACGCTTAGGGTCAGGTCATGATTCAGATAATGATCATAATCATGATGCTATTGGCGTTTTGCTCAACGGAATTTTACTTTTCTATACCGTACTTGCTAATGTGCATATAACTCTTCAAAGTAAAATAGAAAATAGTTTCTTTGAAGAAAAAATCTAGAAACTTTATTGACTCCTAAAAATAGTTGAGCTTCACTCTTATTTCAAATAAATGGTCAATATGATTTATATATTATGTTGGGAATGAAAAGGGATTTAAAAAAAATATGAAACGTACGAATCATTGAGCTAAGGATAGGCATTATACTGACTTTGAAATGATACACAAATCAATAATTTCTCTGGATTATAAGCATTGGAAAAGAGTAAGAAAACAACCGCAATGTAGGTTGAACTTTGTAGGCAATATGAAGTAATGCCAGGGAGGTTTAACTCACATGCCCTGGTAATGCATTCAAAAGGTTAACTCATAATTCATACAATTTGTAATCGAGTCATAGTAAATGAGATAGGGAAAAGGATGGCAGTATAGAGGGAAAAGAGAGAGAGGGAGAGAAATGGAGGGACATAGAGGGATTTTAATAGAGAAAGAAGGATAGACAGAGATGGATGGATAAAGAAGAAGAAAAGAGAGACCAAGGGAAAACAAAGAAAGATAGGGACTAATGTAGGTAATGATAGATGGAAGAATATATGCAAAGGAGAGAAATAGTGGGCAGAAGATAGAGAAAAGGTAGGGACACAGATAGACACATATATAGATAGATAGAAAGGTATATATATATAAGGAGAAAGAAATATGAAGACAGAGAGAGAAAAGAGAGCCTGGCTGAAAGGGAGTCTGAATCCTGTCGTATCGTCCATTCCCCAATCATATTTGGCATGCTTCATCATGCCCGGTAGAGAAAGGCCGTGGTCAAGTTGACTGTACCTGCCTGGAGGGTAATGGAGAGGGTTATAAGGGGGTGTCCATGTTACCCTCTTTGACCCACTTCACACCGGGGGTTACAAGAAAGAGGCCCTCTTAGAACACACAGACAGGTGAATGAGGGCTCTCAATTACCCCTGATACCTACTTCCACATTGGGTATATGATTTGGTACTCCAATACTCAATGTGTAATTCTTACAATATACAGTTGGATCAAAGTTTTATGAACAATAACAATTTAAAGAATTCATGAAAGTAGAGTTTAATTTTTATCAATCTCCTTTAAAACACATCTATAAAAGGTTTAAGAAAATCACCAAAGTTTTTATTAGCATTGTTTGAAAAAGGGAAAATAGTTTTCAAGAATGTACATGTATTTGTATTGCGATATTGACAATCATAGATTAATATATCATAATGAGACAAATATTTTCAAATAAATTCCTTGGGATTTTTACCACCAATGAAATCTTAAATGGCATAACCTGAAAATAATTTAGAAATAAAAGTATGGTAACAACTTTAATTTAGGCTCAATTCACCTTGCATTGGTACACCATTTTTATTTCCTTGATAATAATTTACAAACTGTTTAAAAACTCAAACAAATTACACGTCGCATTATAAACTAAATAGCTGGATGTATATCATATTAAAAAGAATTAAATACAAAATATTCCACCGTGACCAATCAATTCCGCACCAATAAACTATTTCTAGTCAAGGTGGTTTGGTCTTTTGAGTATGTGCATAAAAACATAGCAGGAGCTACACTGTACTCTGCATGTATAAAACGCCATGGGCATATTGTGTTATTTGTACCGGTCATTTTGTATAGGCCCAATTTTTTCATTATCCATGCACCATTCAATTCAATGTATACCTCTACCAATGTATCATAAATAGTGGACAATGCTCGCAAACACGCTTGCAATATTTGAATAATAGATATGCCTAATGGGTCGACCCTGGTGCGGGTGTATGTAAAATGATGGGTGGTGTGAGATCTCTCTCACAAATATTCCACGTTTGAAGGTCACTTTGCGAGCAGAGAGAAAAATGAAGCATTGGATGTGTCTCGTGTAAGATTACAAATTAAATGTTTTGCTGACCAAAGTTGGTTGAATGTAGAGGTCTCCTTTTGTATTTCTATCTTTATGCATACTATTCATGCATTAGAACAATGCATTATGATCATATTTAAATCCCCTCAAATTAATTTTGTCCAGTTTTGTATATAATATAAATGAATCAAGAAAAGCAAGGGGAAAGCTTCGCTTGTAAAAGTTTTTTGAATCATTTTGAGACAGATTCATACACAAAAAACACTTTCAAGTCCATTTGAACTTGTTAACTCTTAGATTTAGTTTTTAATCACAGTGCCTTATTCAGGTTATTCAATTTAATACAAACATCATGTCATGCCATCATAGTTCACATTTTGTGGAGTAATTTGTTAATACCAAATATGGATTTGAATGAGATTGATTTCTCATGAGCTTTAATCATTCTTCATAAAAGTGTATGGTATAAACTCAAAATATTGCACTTTCTGCCCCTGAATGATGACAGAAAAGTCTGCAAGAATCTTGAGGATTGACTGAGGCAGATGTACATGATATCAAAAATATCCTGGAGACTAACAAGTTTTTATTTGTACAACATTTGGGTGGTTTAAAATTTAAGAATTTACAGGGTTTGAGTAGTCATTTTCAGGTAATCAGTTGATAATTTTTCTCCGCCTTTTGCCCCTTTATTTGTTTAGATGCATGAGATGGATAGCTTGAAATCCAAGATGTCTGAGCTTCATGAGATGGTACGGATGAGTATGGAGATGCAGTTAGATCTTCAACGGGCCATCAGGCAGGAGGTAGCCGCTGCTCTTCATCAGCAGAATGGTAGGTGGAGTCTTCCATCCCTGCTTTTAGTTCAATTCAATTCAATTCATATTTATTTGATTTCCAACAGAAAGATAAACAAAGGTATTACATATATTATCACAGAAAGTATGAAAAAAATGTATGTACATAGTTCATTTTTTTCTTGGTAACTATACAAATACACTTTACACATAATAAACTTATTACAAGAAATTTCGGAGGAAATGGGGGGATCCACTAAAAATCTATGCTTGTAGTTTGTGGATTCCCCAGTTGCTAGGAAGCCCTCAACCAAAACGCACTTTGAATAATATCATGTCACAAAGTCTGGGAAGTTGTTCCTATTTGGAATTTGATAAAGGGAAATAGATCTTGGGAGACTTTTTAATATTACTTGGTTGAATCAAGCTCTTTTAGACCCTTTATATATTTGGGGGAAGAGATTGTTGAAAGCTGATATTCTTATCAAAGACTTAAACGATTCTGAATGTTCAAGGATTGTATGTTAAAATGTGCAGGATCATTAGATTAAGGGTTTTCGAATTGGAAGATTTCGGATTCACAACCACTTCTTTGGATAGTGTCATAATCCTCAAGTGCTTATGGGCACATGCTTACCTTCTAAGGAACCTCAAACAATATCAGCATTGATGACTAACATCCACTGATAAGCCCAAAGTGAAAAAAACAACAACTGAAAAACAGTCTTCTAACGTACCATCTGCATCATTCTTGAATCCTCTCAGGTACTACTGCTTCTCCTGCTGCTCCTCTCTCAGATCCAGCTTCCGAGGGTAACTGTATCATCTGCCTAGACAAAGAGGTGGATTCAGTCCTTTACCAGTGTGGTCACATGTGTGTGTGTATGACCTGTGGTCTGCGTCTCTCCACCATGGGATCACACTGCCCTATGTGCAGGGCACCTATCAGGGATGTTATCAGGGCTTATCGCTGTCAACGCTCGTAGAGATCTTCTACTACCATCCCTTCCAGGACCTTCTGTGCAGGGTCTCCTTGGACCTGAATGCTTTCACCTGAAGGACTTCAACTGCCAGACCATACAAGATCATCAGATATTGATTCCCCTGATTCCCTCATTTATTAATCGTTGTCGACTGTCCTAGAGAACTTCCACCAAGATCCCTTCCAAAACCTGCTCCCACATGTCCCGGATATCATCAGAGTAATTGCAGTGACTTGAAGAACTTCTGATACTTGATCCTACCAAATCTTCCTCTGTTGATCCCTTTGCATCATGTACATTGGATCCTGCAAGGGATGCTAATGCCACCAATGCATCCACAGAACTTTACCATCATACCTTATCAGATCCTTAATGGTAATAATTATATTAATATTAATAATAATAACAATGGAGTCTCGCACACGCCTGGCACATTGCTACTGTTGGCGCTCTTTTGTTATTACCCTAACTTTAACACAACAAATATATATATCAAATCAAATTAGAATGTTTTTTTTGGTGCATTTTTAACCTAAAATATCTTGTGTCACTGTATCCTCCTTATATTTGGATTTTATTTAATGGGCGTCATTTTGTCATTAAAGAAATGAAGAAATGAAGTGGACACCACTGTAACATACAGGCTGATGAGTTTTGCAATATTTTGATAAGGGATTAATGAAACGATGTAAAAAGTGGAATTAAGTTTGAATATATGCACTTTTAATAGATATGTCAGCCATATTTAAAAAATAACTTGGCCAAATGCATTAGAATTATTAACATTTGGTTATATTCAACGCTCAAAATACACGGGGGCGGTGGGCGATTCGCCCCCGTGAGCCCCACAATCGCCCCCGTCAGATGGTTCACGAGGGCGATTGCAAAATTAAAAATCGCCCCCGTGGAATTATAAAATAAAGATTATCTTTTCTGATATAACTTTAACACAATATTGAGTATCAATTTTCAAACCTTAAACCAATAAAATGGAACTAATTAGATGGCGCTTTCTCTCCCATGTCTATGAGTATTACCGATACAAACAACAGAGCTCGCAGTGCAGCTGTAGTGCGGCCGTCAGCAATGGCTATACTGCGCCGGTAGTACCGGTGTGCACGCTGACGCCCAATATATGCTGGAGCTGGAGACGATCGCGCAAGGACTGAAACATGGAGAAATTTTTCGTTGTGAAAAGTGTGAATCCTCTGAAATCTGGTTATTCTAAAAGATCAGCAAATAATGTAACTTGACCAGTAAATCAATATTGAGAAGAAGATCACCAAAGATGTTGCAGGGGCGGATTTAGGCGGTTTAGGGGTTTAACCACCCCCCCCCTCCCCCTTGGGCTGCCGAGTGAAAATGTGTTGTGCATAGAAAAATGCTATCATGTGTCATTGTGTCCAGACCTACACAGTATTAGTAGATGTCAGTAGATGCCAGGAAAACATCACTAACGGGGGTTCAAAATAGCGCCAAAAAATCGCCTCGCCGCTTTGCGGCTCGTCGACGATGCTCCGCATGTTAGTAGATGCCAGGAAAACATCACTAACGGGGGTTCAAAATAGCGCCAAAAAATCGCCTCGCCGCTTTGCGGCTCGTCGACGATGCTCCGCATGTTAGTAGATGCCAGGAACACATCAATTACGGGAGTTCAAAATAGCAACAACAAAAATCGCCTCGCCGCTACGCGGCTCGTGGACGATGCTCCACATCGTATCTGGGTTACCCCCCCCCCATCCTTAGCAAAAAGCTAGATCTGCCCCTGTGTTTTGGAAGGATATGGTAAAAACCAAAAGTAAAGAAAGAATGTAAATAAGGTTGCTCCAAATAATGAGGAGGACATTATGTGCAGAGCGGGAAGAAATGGAGAGAATGTCATTACGGAGATAAAAGTCAATAACAGCTATGTAACAAGTACATTTCTAAGAGGGAAAATGCCGACTTAAATAAATGATAATGATAAAATACCAAGGAATTTAGGAGTTTCATGGGTACCAATTCAATGAAAATTTGTATTAAAAAAAGAGCCCCCGTCGGTACTAAAAGAGCCCCCGTGAGAGAGCTCACGGGGGCTCTTTTTTTTTTGGAAGAGCCCCCGTGGACAAAAAATTAATTTGAGCCTTGGTTATATTTAAATACATGTTTTCTTCTGCTTACTTTAAAATTGTTCGTAATTATTTTACGTTCTCTTATCAACAAATCTCAGTTGATTTTGTAATACATTGACTTGTATTATAAAAAACCTCACATTTAACAAGAAGTGTTGTTATATGAAAAGAGTTTATGACTTTAGAGTTTTTGCTAACTTATAATCAGTAATTTGTATGTTGCTTATTCCATTGCAATTTTTGTAAAGTAAATACCTGCAATATTACTTCTATGAAAAGAATTTGCACTTTGGGCATTCAAATATATACAAATTGTAAATAGGTAAAAATATGGAAAAAAACTTGGTTACAAAACCAAAAGAATGTCACTTTAAATTGTATGTATATTCAACATTCTGTTTTATCAATGTATTCTGTAAGATAATTATATATTGTTTATGAAAATATTCTACATGAAAATATATAATTTGTTATTACACACTGTTTCTTAAGATATTCATTTAAGATATTTGCAACTTGCTTACATATTAGATTTCTGAATTTTATGTAAAACAGATATCGATGCTATTTTCTTCATATTGTACATACAGAATATAATGTGACATGATATAGCAATATTTGTATGAAAATATATATGATATATATAAATAGAAATATTTGTTTATGAGTGTAATTCTTTGAAAGTCTGAAATGTATCCATAAGCGGAGTATCGGATATATTTGATATATCAACGGCAGTTGGTTCATGCTTTTTATATATATATAAGCCAAAGTCTTGTATCTAACTGTATACTTAACAATTTCATGTTTTTCTACCTACATGTATACTAAAAAAGTGACCTTTACCAGGGTACCTCCCTGCCTTTACTAATCAAATAGCATTATTGATGCATTGGACCAAAGACATGCTTGACTCTTTCCTTTCACACTGTCATAAAAACCGTGTGTATCATGAATATAAAGAGGGCTTTATAGAAAGTGCAATTTCAAAGGGATTGTGGTATATTCATTTCTTTTCTTTCATGGCCTGACCAAGAGCTTCCTCGTTGATTGATAATCACGTGGAATGTGGAATAATCATGTTGTGATAGTGTAGGAGAGGAACAATTTGAATAATTGATAGTTATATTTGATTATTTGGACATCGTGATGAAATAAGAGACTGAATGTTTTGTTGGGAGTGTTGACGTTGATGATATTGACAGGAGTGATAAATATGACGATGAGGATAAGGAGCAGGAGGCAAAGATAGTGATGGTGGCGGGGGGTGCCTTAAAGGTAATACAAAGTTTTGGGAAATTTTGAAAATTGATAATGATTCATTACAATTTTGATATATTTGGATGCCACTGTGGATGTATTATAAGCACTAGAAAATTTAGCACCTAAAACACTTCTGCTTTCGAGAAAAACTGAATATAAAAATTTACCGGTGCTCCCTGTAAATCTTGATAAATTTCAAATAGCGCCTACGGCCGTACAATGGTAGCTCCGACCATGAAAATCTCAGAATATGGAGTTGTGAAATATAATTTCCAAACGGGAATAGCTAATCGGTCGATTTTAGTCAAGAAATATTGTTTTATAGCTTAATTATTATCTTGACCTTGAGAGGGAGCTTTACAGCATAAAGAGATTATTATTTACAATTTCATAACTTAAGACTCGACTTCAACCGCGACAACGATCACTGAATAATGTAGGATCGCATAATGCTTCCAATATGTTCATTCGGACCAAATCCATGACCCCGTACCAAAACTTTGTATTACCTTTAATGTCATATGTCTCCTTTCCGCCAAGTATATTATGATATTATACGAATAATAATTGGCTTCACCTCGAATTCAGAGTAGCATTCTTTGGAGCGCATGACATTGACTTTGTTTGTGCATTTTTGCTTGTTTATTTTTTATTTTTTTCTTCATTTTGTTTATCTTCATTTTTTATATATTGTTATGTTTTCAGGTTTGGGGGTAAGGATTTTTCAGCTTTATCTGCGATAAAAGCTATAAATCTTAGCTCAAAGCACCCGACATTCTTTGTCTAATGTGATTTCTTTTTATTACCAATAGTGTCTTTCCCGCTGGATGGATACTTCCTCTTTAAAATATTAATTTTTGTTTGTAAATCTACGGTCATTCGTGCTGCACTGGTACGGATTCATGTTTGTTTCACAACCTCTGTAAGTACAGTCCCAGGTACCGCAAAAGATGTCGGGGAATTAGAGCAAGTTAATTGGGTTTGTTATATTTCACTGTTTAAAAAAAAACTCTCATGGACATTGGTCAATGGAAACAGAATAAAAGCATTCAAAGATTATGTTACGGATCATTTTGCGTCTATTGAAAGAGCTGTGAAGCAAAGAAAAAAAAAGTTCAGTTTATTGCGCATTGACCCAAAGACAAGAATTGAATCAATTTTCCCTGACCATTCGTTTATGCAGGCGAGGTTAATGTCTATAGCACACACATCACATTTTGTCCGATTCATTTCAATTCATAGTCTGGCCAATCATGACAATAAAGAGGCCATTTTGTTTACTTGAAATGGAATCGATTGACCTTCACAGCATCACGTTCACAGCATCATGATTGTGGGAAACTGGACTTTCAGCTAAAGTAAAACACAAATGAAATGGTCATCATATTGGAACATTCTCACGTACACATTATCAGGGTCAATTAAGGTCATTATGAGAGGCTACTTTAAGAGGTCAATGAAGTCTACATTCATTGCCCTGGGCCTGAACGCTAATGCAACCCATACATTATAGACCACGCCCACTTTGTGTATGTGCTGAGATGGAATCAGGCCAAGGCGGGAAAATGAGATTTTACGACAAAGGATCGTACTTCCACATTCTGCCACATTGATTATCTAAAAATTGGGCGGGAATAAGTTCCGAAGTTTGCGTTCCCCATTGCCTCTTTGCACTTCCACCGGAACTCAGCTTTCCAAAACGTTCTAACATTTACACTAAACATTGTTTAAACATTTTTTTTAATACTAAAATATTGTTTTACTTTTATCGCCTCATTCATTTTGATATCAATGACTTCATGCTTCTTTAAAGTAGATAACATTAAATGGAATACGTGCATAACGAACTCAAACAGATCTGTATGTTAAAAGTTTTCAAACTTATTATAGTAACTGTAATTGGTGTATTTAATTTCAACATATATGCGCTTGTTTCTCATAAATAGTAATATCACTGAAGCTCAACTAAATGACATTATTTTAATGTATGTTCTGGGCCCCGTCTTACAAAGAGTTGATATTAATCGCAACTTATTTGTGATTAATATCAATCGCAACTATGTTCATAAGAGATAGGAGACTGCAAACTTGCATATAATGCATACTCACATACGTACTTCCGTCAAGTTAAACAGTAGAGTAGCATTACAGTAAACTTACCTATCATTATAATTATGCACAATATCTGTCACGTCTTTCTAATAGGAATCAGTACAGTGAAGATGTAACTACTTCCCCCACACATACACACACAGTGAAGTCCAAACTCACGCGCACACTCACATAATATACACACACCCACGCACCACCGCTCTCACCTCTCTTTTTTCCTTCTCTCTTGTAACTTTTATTAATTTGACTTTGCTTTTTGTTGTTATTACTTCTTTTAAAATCAGATTGCGACTAAAACCATGTATATG